GAGGGAGAGGGAGGGAGAGGGAAAGAGAGAGAGAGAAACAGAGGGTGCTAGGGTGTGAGGGTGGGAAGGAGGGAAGGAAGGGAGGCAAGGGAGTAAAGGAGGATAGGATGGATTGGGGGAGACAGGGAGATAGAAGGGGCAGGAAAGAGGGAGGAGGATGGGAGGGAGGCACGGAGAAAGAGGAAGGAAGGAGGAGGGAAGGGAAGAAGGAAGAAGGAAGAAGGAAGAAGGAAGAAGGAAGTAGGAAGGAGGAAGGAGGAATGCGGAAGGACAGCAGGAAGTGGGGACAAGGTGAGGGAAGGAGAAATGGAAAAAGTAAAAGGTGTAATGACTTGCAAAAACACAGATTGAGAACACCGCTGATTTCTGGGTTTTGCTGCTGGAATGTGTGCTTTTTGCTGAGATTTCTAAGTCTGTGTGTATCCGTGCGTGCTGGTTTCCGTGTGCCTGTCTGCGTGCATGTCTGCCTGGGTGTGTGTGTGTGAGCCCCCAGGGTACTTGTTTGTTTGGGAGGCCCTCGGGGCCGGTACTTACCTGTGGCCGCGACTTTGAGGGTTGCAGCAGGGAACACTCTCAAGGAGTGTAGGCTAGCATTCAAGTAGCGGTAGTGTAGGCGTGTGTAGCTTAGGGTAGTACTTGAGTAGCGGTAGGCCGAGCAGAAAACGACAAAACGTCAGTACAATTGGAGGCCATGTGAATTTTAGCGAGTCCGATAGGCCTAGGTCTAGGTACCAGTCCTGAAGTCTGAATCTAGGGCCTGAAGCGGACGATATCAGACCTACAATGATGTTTCCTCCGAAAGGGAGGAGGTGCCCGTTGCTTGGGAGGCCGCGCAGCCTGGAAGTCACCGCCCAAGTGGCAGGTTGCCCGATATATTTCCAGGAAGAGCTCATTGCTCGAGCTCATTTTGTGGTGTGTAAGTTCGGGCGTCACGCTGCTGGAGCGCCTGGTGGTAGGAGCTCTGGGAGGAGGAGCGCCTGGGCTTCCGCCTTGGCTATGATGGACAGTGCCAGGAAGGAGGAGGAGGAAGAAGGGAACTAGGAGGAGAGTGGCCAGAGGTACTTACCTGGCTATGGTGGATGCCATCTTCATCTCCTTGCTATTCGCTGCATCTGGAAGGCCCCAGTAGGGGTAGCACTGCATCAAGAAGGCTCCAGGGCAGACTCAGGCATGGCGGCCTGAGGTGTAGAGGACATAGCTGCTTTTGCATCATCTATTGAACATCGGGCCAGGGCCTCTGGTAGTCTGCCATAGCCATCACCTGTCGGAGGTGGATGGCGGTGAAGGTCGTGGCTATGGTGAACCTCATGTTGTGCTGGCAGTAAGAGGGAGATTCGGACATTGGGTTCTAGTTCGGCCATTCATTCTTATTATTATTATTTGTTGATGAATAAGGTTGGGGGCGAGGGGGAGGGAGGGGGGGAGGTAGGGAGGGAGGGAGAGGGAAGGGGACACAGAGAGAGAGAGAGAGAGAGAGAGAGAGAGAGAGAGAGAGAGAGAGAGATTCATTCTCCTCGCTACGCATTAAAGCCTCTCCACTCATCGAGTCGCTGCTGGACTCTGCTGGCAATATATATACTGTCTCTTATACACATCTAGATGTGTATAAGAGACAGCTCTCTCTCTCTCTCTCTCTCTCTCTCTCTCTCTCTCTCTCTCTCTCTCTCTCTCTCTTTGTCGTTGTCTTCTTTGCAAGTATGCGGCACCTTTCTTCAGCGGCGCAGCTATGGCGGACCTTCCTCCTTCGATGGCGCAGCTACAGCTATGGCGCCCAGACAACGATGGCGCGTGGGATAACGGGAACCAGCTCCGATACCAATGCAATCAGACTCACTTTCTGCTTCACTTCGCGTACATGCAAACAGATGGCAATTCACACTGGCGTTGTGCGCCCACACAAAACTCAGAGATAGTCAAGCCGAGAACACCGTTCGGTTACAAACTCGCTTCCAATTGGCTAAGGCGACTGAGCGCCCACACATCCTCTCTCCAACTGTGTCCACCCAACTGTTCAAATGCACTCAACTTCGGATCTCCCTGGATATCCCACGCACATACACTCTGTAACACACACACACCCACTCACTCTGACTAACACCTATTGCTAGCTATGGCAGCTATGGCCGCCAACTACTTCTATCTACAAGCAGCTATGGCTGCGCTAATCTCCACCTCAGCCCACTCCGACTTCAGGCCTCTGCAGACCACCTCGCACAAGACGCTAGGGCAGCGCTTCCGCATGGCTCACGCAGGAATGAATGAATGGCTGGACGCTGCCTCTTGATCTATACTTCTGTAAGTCGTTGGTCTGCCATTTTCCACCGGGCCCATGGTGCACACAGTCCCTCATGGTACTTGCTGACTGTACAAAGTGAGACTGGGACTGGGTACCGCTGACTAAGCTAAGTTGGACTCACCACTTGCCCACTTGCCTCTGGTCTGCTGTGTATAACTTGAGAAGAAACTTGAAAGGCCACTTCCGGACCTTCCGGAAGTTTGCAGACTTGGCCTTTCAGGACTGTAGCAGCTACGACCTTGACCTTTCAGAACTACAACAACTATGACCCCTATGCAGGTATGACCCCTACTTCGACAGGTCTAAGGTTCAAGACCCGACAACTACTCAGACCTATGGCAGACAACTTTCAACTACTAACACACAGGTCACAGGTTCAAGACACACAGAGTCGACTTGATACTTGCAAAAGGTGAAAACCGTTTCAATTTCAGACATTTCTCGATTTATGCGTGTCATCCTTGCGCAGGGAGCATGCTTATCTTCTGTGTATCGTTCCAATCTTAACGGCTGTACCGAAGGACAACTGCCGTCCTTCCTATGCTTTATTTGAAAAAAAAAAAAAAAAAAAAAAGGGAAACTGGTTAACACGAGGGCCACAGAAGGGGGTTGTGACGGGGATGCAATTACCAAGAAAGGCAGCCTCGTCTTCCTCGAAGATATGATGATCTCGTTCAAGAACAGTTTGCAGCACATAACGGAAACTCTCTTGGTAATTTGACGTGAAGTCCTGCCTGTTGTTGTTCTCTTCAACACCGTCGCACCCTGTGTGGGCACCCAAACCCACCTCCCCATTTGCGCTCCCACAAACCTTTTTCCATCCTTTCACAGAACCTTTGCGGTACGTCTCTGCTGCATGGAGTAGCTTGTTCACGAGCACCTGCAACTGCTTCTCCTCTGCAACAATATGACATGGACTGTCACTATCTTCCTGCTGCGTTGAGATGAGGAGGGGGGAGCAAACCAGGCTGTTGGATTTGGTGTTCAGACCAAGTTCGTCAACATCGACCTGGCTTTTTGAACCTGGTTTCAACTGCAAATCCAACATCCTCCTGTTGGATTTGAAGTTCGAACCAGGTTTGTCGACATCAACTTGGTCTGAACCAGGTTTGGACTCCAAGGGCGAGCCAGGTTTGAAGTCTACACCAGCTTCACCAACATCCAAAACCACAACCTGCCGAATATTGCGCTGGTCAGCCTGGTCTAAACCTGGTTCAAACTCCAAGTTTGAACCAGGCGTTAACACATTGGTGTTGTCCTCTCCACCTCCGGATCGCGCAATAGCAGTCTCCTCAGCGGCAGTCAGATATTCATAATGTGGTTGGGATCGGGAATGCACACCCGGCTCTTCGACTGCAACTTTAGTGGAGCCATGGTCATAACCATGGCTCCACTCGTCACCCCCATCCTGTTTACATCGCACAATACCGCCGTTCTCTGTAGGAGATCCTGGGAACTGGGAGCGAGTCTGCAATCTCCGATTATCGTCATTTCCCCAGTTTTCTCTGCTGTCTAATAATACATTATCAACCACAGAATCACCCAAACTGGTCATCTGGTGGCCATTCCCGTCAAACGAGGGGTCTTCATGGCCCGACATTTTGGTATTGGCATCGGCATCTACCTCTGCTCCAGCAGTTCGAAAAGGACGCAACGTATCAGGACCCTCCAATGTACGATCAACGGACAACGATATAGAGAGGGGTGCGTACCCAGATTGTGTATCTTCAACTCTGCTGAAACCATTTCTGCAGTTGCTGGCTGCTTGCTGGCTTGCTACACAACTCAGGGAGGGCAGAGCAGCTTCTGATGTCAATCCTGTTGTGCCAACCCTCCTTCGACAAGTGACTTGCAGTTCCACATTGCCGAACTTCGTTAGAGGTTCTGCGATGATCAGTCCCTGTTTACAATAACAAAGGCACAATGCTCAACAAAACAAGCAACAGTAGATGGTAGGGACAGAGGGAGAGAAAAGGCGAGGGAGGCAGGAAGGTAGAGGGGTTGCATGGCCCTCGCGGAAAAGGCAAGATAAAGAGGGAGGGAGCGGAGGGNTTAGTTTTTTCTTTTTTTTTTTTCTGTTTCTTTAGTCTTGTGCCTGAATTGAACTGCAAAGTTCGAACTTTTTAAGTTACATTAGTTTTTTCTTTTTTTTTTTTCTGTTTCTTTAGTCTTGTGCCTGAATTGAACTGCAAAGTTCGAACTTTTTAAGTTACATGAAGTTGTGAACTTAAAACTTAAAAGTTAAATTACTAAATTTAAAGTTCGAACTTCAAAATTAATCAATGTGAGACCAAATGTGGGACCAAATGTGGGACCATCTGTGGGACCAACTGTGGGACCAACTGTGGGAACAACTGTGGGACCAAATGGGACCAAACGTGGGACCAAACGTGGGACCAAACGTGGGACCAAACGTGGGACCAAACGTGGGACCAAACGTGGGACCAAACGTGGGACCAAATGAGGGACAAAAAGGGGAACCAAGCTTAGCAGGATAAGTCAACGCCCAACAGGCGGCCGACTATATAGAGCAGGAGAAACGCGATATTGAAGAAGACCCTCACCTTCACAGCGTTTGGATCCTTGAGGTTGGTCGGTTCTCGTACCAACTCCACTGTCTGTCCGGCTGAGCAACTCACTTGCCGATGGAATCTCCGCCCAACGATCTTTGTCAAGAATCTGCAAACGACGGCATCTTCATCTGAGGGCCAAGCAGGAGAAAGGCCATCTGCTCTCGCCATCCGCGGACGCTCACACTCGCTCTCCGTTGCATCCAGGTGACAATGCTTCCCGCTTCCGCCGATACCGATTGTAACGCCTTGTCCATTCTTCAATGAATAACGACCGGAGCTGGAGTCCGAGGACCGAAGATGCTGACCCGTAGGATCCACCAGCAAATAATCACGATCGTCTGATTCTTGGCAATCTTTTTCGAGGGAAATCAGCCCCTCCCTCTCCCCACTTTCCACTCTTGAAAGTGGGACCGTTGAAGTTTCCACTTCACGTTCGCATTCCAGTCCTGGTTCTAGTTCCGGTTCCTGTTCCGGTTGTGGTTTACCTTCCAGTCCTGTTTCTAGTTCCAGTTCCAGATTCGCTCCTCCTTCCCTCTCTGGTCCTGGTCCTGGTTCTGGTCCTGGTCCCGGTCCTGGTCCTGGTCCTGGTCCTGGTCCCCGTTCCAATCTCGACTGTAGTTCCTGCTTTGGTTCTGGCTCCGGTGTTCTGAACTCTGGTTCAGATGATCCTTCCACCTGGTCGGCGGATTCTGCCCCAAGTGGAGAGTGATTGGTGGGCAATCCCTTCTGCAGAGCCATTGCCATATGTAGAGCTACAGGCATCTTATTGCTCCCCTGTACAGTCGAAGATTGCCGACATGCAATGCCTGCAGTTGTCGCTGCCAGACCACAAACCAACACCGGTACCTGGATCAGAGCTCATGCCACGTCCATGGACCTCCTCATGGCATGGCATCTGCAACACACCTTTTAGTTCAACACCAGTGAGCGCACACAATCACATCACATGCATTTATGAGGTCACACGAGATTCACACTGGAGGCCAGAGAGATGAAGACCAGATAGCGCAGCTTATGAATTCCAACAAGTTATTACAGGAGCAATATGAGTTCAAGTCACCAGCGCCCATCAGCGCATACTAAAGGTAACCAGTAACCAGCAAAGCTCTCAGGTCAGTATCTCTTCCCCTCTGCTCTTCTCTCTTATGTACCTCTTCCCCTCGATGATCTTCTCCCTAGCTATGCCTCGCTGTGTCTTCTCTCCCTACATGCATGCACACTCACTAACTTCTGCTCAAGGATCTACTCTGAATACATCCACTGACATGCCCACCGACTCCCTACTAACTACCACTAACACCCTGCACTGGCGCAGCTATGGCTGCCTTCTTCCTGCCAGCGCAATCTCTTCCTCTCTCTCTCTCTCTCTTAGTGCGGCATCCTGGCTCAGCGCCCTGCCCCTCACTACAGCGCACAAGTGCACCAGCACTTCCACACTTCTTGCGAATGAGCAATCTGCCCAATGAGGCGGTTGGCCAGTCCTTTTGTAGTCTTGGATTGCACTTCAACTCGTGCCAGCCTCTGCTTCTTGGGTCTGACTGGGTTCCGGTACCACATCCCCACGGCCTGTCTGCTTTCGAATGTCAAGGCCTGGAACCTTCCCGAATTTCCACTGGGCTGCTGCTGCTTGGGCCTTTGAGTCATGACTTTTCAACTTTGGCATATGGTTTTGACTGTGGACTGTGACTCCTGCCTCGGGGACACGACTCTTGCCTGTGGAACTGTCCTTTTACTCGTGGGATGTGACTCTTCAATATGACTTTTCATTATGAAACGTGATTCTTGCCCTTCAGATGTGACTTTTCTGAAATTGACTGACTTCGGCCTTTCGCAGCCAGGGCCTCTGACCCTGAGACCCGAATTTGGGGTCTGAATCGTGGAAGGCCTTTCACATCCATGGGAACTGAAGGAAAATGTCCCAAGTGATAGTCCTCATCCCCCTATAAACTGGTTTCAATTTGTTTGCTCAACATCATCCGCGATGTCAGTTCGAAACTTTTACCGACTGTTAGCAACTGTTAGCAACTGTTAGCAACTGTTAGCAACTGTTAGCAAACTGTCAGCCATCTGTTAGCAATTGTTAATCTCAAAACACTCAATCGCATAACCCTCAATCGCAAAACCCTCAATTCATTGCTCACCATCATCGGGGATGTTAGTTAGTAACTGTTAGCAACTGTTAGGAACTGTTAGCAAATTGTACATGTTAGAAACTACTAATTGCAAAAACCTCAATTGGTTGCAAAACCCGCTGCAACTTCGTCTCAATTCATTGCTCAAAGTCATCGAAGGTCTCAGTTAGCGACTGTTTTTCTCACTGCTAACAACTGTTAGCAACTGTTAGCAACTGGCATTCCCAGGGGGAAGAGCACCAGCCCACCTCTTGCATATATCAGGTGCACTCACTCCAGATTTTAAAGAGGGGGAATATTGGGGCCGGCAAGAAGATGGTGTATGGCGTGTGTTCGATTGATGATGTTTCTGAGGTCGTTTGTCTTGCTAGGAAGGTCGATGCCTCTCTCTCTCTCTCTCTCTCTCTCTCTCTCTCTCTCTCTCTCTCTCTCTCTCTCTCTCTCTCTCTCTCTCTCTCTCTCTATCTCTATCTATCTATCTATCTATCTATCTATCTATCT